GCAAAGATAATAAACATATACAAATCACTTGGCACAGTCCCCAGAGAATCCCAAGTGTTTAATAAGTAGTCGTAGTGAGGATGCTACCTGGGGTGTAACTGACGCTCCATAGATGCAGCTTTCTCCCCCTCCAGCCGGATCACGTCAAGGTTTGTGGTGAGTGAGACTGTCATTAAATGAGCATTGATGGAGTAAATAACACTCACAAGTTGAACAATTGATTTTAATAGCTACCATGTATCAAGCACCTGCTAATGCGGTTTATACGTAAGGATACATCCTATTAGTACCTCCATTTCATATATTCAGAAACTGAGAAAGGAGGTGAAGTAACTTCCCAAGATCATTTAACAGAGAGCAACAAAGCTGGGATTTGAAGCGGTCAATCTGGTGTGAGTCCTCTCAGTGAAAGTCAATTCCAATATCAGTATTACATCCGAACTGTTTCAGCCAAACAGTGCAGCCAACCTGCATCGGAGGAAGCTGTGTTTGTTTTCTATTTCTGCAATAATCAGTCCTTGGAGCCCCCATCATCTAAACTTAATAAACCAACATTATCAATACCTTGCTCCTGAGCAAAGAGTTGCTCCTTAGAACAAGCCAGCTGACACGTATTCTCAACCATCAACTAGCAATTAAAATCCTTAACTAGGAAGAAGAAAGGCCCCCCTACGCAGATCAGGGCAGTGTCACCCGCTTCCTTGTTCAAAGACTCCGAAGCCTCCCTTTTTCCTACAGAGTCAAGTTCACATTCCTCAGCCTGTTCCTCAGAACCTCCCAAATCGGCCAGCAATTTAGTTTTTAAGCCTTATCTTCCCCTACTCACAACCTGAAGTCTCCACTTTTCTCTTAATTTCGCTTTCCCACTCTCACCTCCACAGCTTTTCTCTGGTTCTCCCTACATCGGGATGCCATCGAGCCTTCTCTCCACTGTCCCGGCCATTCTCCAAAGTGCATATGCAACTGGCCGCCCCTGCGGGTACCCCTCGCCTCCGCTACCCTCAAGGGGCGCCCTCTCCCCGGCTCTGGGGCTCCTCACTCCTCCGTGACTGCACAGCGCTCCTCGCGGATCCAGCGCCCGTGGCACATGGGTGCTGGGCAAGGAATCCACTTCAAAATCAAATTATTTGTAAATCGATCTAGTAAATATTGTGTCCAGACAAAATGTGCATGTTAAATTTCTTGAAAGACTATTATCATATTTAACTTACTGAGAGCATTAAAAATTCCAGTGCCTACCAATTAAAGTTTTTGTGAGGAGATGGTGGAGCAGAGTGATAAAAAAGGTGTCTGAGCAGCTTTTCCCATTCTTCACAAGGGAACAGTGAATAACGTCTCATTTCCAGTGTCAGTAAGTTATCAAAAGGAGGATTAGTCAATTTATTTAAAGACACAAAAATATACAAAAAACATATAGTTTTCATATGACAGAAGAAAAAAGTTAAAGAAAACCTTTAAAAAGATAACATAAAAAATATAAAGATGACATAAAGACTAAAGAAAAAATTTAAAATAATGGTAAAGGACAAAAAACAGAGGTAAAAATCAGGCAATTTGTAGAAAAAGACCAAACACAAAATGTTTAATAATAAATACATGGTTATATTACTGTCCTGTTAAAAGATACTCTGATATCACTGGCTGGTGTGGCTCAGTTGACTGAACACAGGCCTGTGAACCAAAGGGTCGCTGGTTCAATTCCCATTCTCCCTCTCTTTCTCCCTCTACTCTCTAAAATTTAATAAGTAAAATCTTTTTTAAAAAGATACTCTAATATTGAGCAGAAGTAAATAAATATAACCTAACTACAGATACACGTAAAGCCAATGACTAAGAAAGATAAGGAAGAAAAGATATACAGAGGATATTACTGGAAAATAATAAAGGCCAATGTGTCAGGGACTGGTATCTGCCCACCCCAACATCCAGGCTTAGCTGACTTCATTAAAGAACCCTCATTGTGTGGGGTGGGACAATATTCCCAGCTTCCCTTGCAAACAGGAGGGGCCGAGTCACCAGTGAACCAGGAGTGGAAGGTACTGGAGGGCGTGTCTAGGAAAGCTCCTTTAAAAGGAGCTGCTGAGTCCCTGTAGGAAATACCAGGGGGAAACTTACGGGATCTCATTGCTAATAGGAAATATATGCAAACTTGTCTAAGTCTTTGAAAAAGCATGTGGATGGAAACAGGTAAGGAAATTGAGGTTCTCAAAAATACACTAAAATTAATAAGGGTACCCATTAAACATTGGCATATGAGAGCTTTGTATGTGTGTGATTATGTAATCGTAAAGAGAATTCGATTTTTTTTCAGAAACAGATTATATAAAAATTTTAAAATATTTCAAAATACAGGCCTTGTCCGCAGACCATAATTTAAGAAATAAGTCAAAATATGAAATGGCATTGGATTGAACAAAAAATATCAGCATTTGAAAATCACTCACAAGTACTTCACTAGTCCAAGAAGAAATCCAAATACACACTACGTATATGGCCAAACATAATGAGAAAAACAGTGATATGGATCAGAATCTAGATGGCATTGCCAAAAGCACATTCAAAGGAAAATTCATTACCTTAAGCATAAAAGAGTGAAAATAAGCATTAAGCATTTAATCCAAGGGTCCTAATAAAAAACAGCAAAGTTAAGACAAGAAGAAGAAGGAATAGATGAAGCAGCAGCAGCAACTGTACCTTCAGAAACTCTTTTGCAGGAATTACCCCACAAGGATTTAGAAATGAATGTTCAATGTGCAGTGTTGGAAAAACCAGACGAATGAAACCTCGGTCACGTGGGGATGACTGAGTAAATCGTGGCCACAGTACATATTAGCATGACAGAGAGACACTAGAAATAACCCTTACATCTATTGACATAAAAGCTCACAATACATGGACTCGAAAAGGAGACTGTGAATCCATGCGCACAGCCTGATCTCAGGTGGGACTGAAGAACAACCGTGTCTGCATGTTCAGGTACTTAAAGTTTCACTGTTAAAATTAGAACAACGCACTTCTAAAAGCATGGGCTACCAAAGCACATTTCTTCTCGTGCCCTCTTTAAAATGGAACGTGGTGCTCCAATCCTCTAGGGGGTATATCTTGTAAATCACCAGAACTTGTACAGCCCCTTGTACCTATTAGAGCGAGCAATTACCAGATGTAGTACTGCTCTCATTTTTCCTCCAGGATCCTGAGGATTTCTCTCTGCCTTCAAAGAACGCTATTTTCTCTCCGAGGCTACTATTATTTTGTACAAATGATTTCAAGCGAGCCCTCCACACCACATCAAAACTGGGGCAAAAATAAAAGGAAGATGGAAACGCAACCAGCGTGGAAGTCAATGACTGTTTCCAATCATCTCTCTACTTGAATGTTTCCTTTACCAAGAGCTCTCTGTACCTTTAAAATGGGGGATCTTGCACCCACACAAATATTCTGGGAATGAAATGTTGTGACTTCATCAAGTGCACATCACAGCAATTAGAGGGAATCCCCCACCTCGTTTCCCTCCCTCATATCCTTTTCCACCTCTGCCTACATCATTAAAACCCCTGGAACCAATCCAATTCTACACGGATTCTAAAAGCGGCACACAGAAGTCCAAGTGCAGCAGCTGTGATGGGTCTGACCTAGCCAGCACGTGAGACAGTAGGACCAACACAAGCCAGGCTGCCAGCTCATTCCTTGGAGAGATAATTCATGGGCTGGAGGGCCTATTAACACCTGCAAGTTCATCTCTGTAGGTGGTGGCACATCCTGGTATCAAAGGATCGAAATCCCTCAGAGCAACTGAGCTTCTTTCGACCCAAACCCACAGGTGCTCACCCTTCTCCACACGGGTGGAGAAGAAAAGCGGCGCACTTCTCTCAAAGTAATTAAAAACCCCAACCTTCAAAACCATGACCTCCTCCTCCTGTGATCTCAGAACGTTAGTTCTCTGCACTGCGCACTTGGAGCTTAATCACACTCCGCCCAAATCACCTACAGTGTGTGTGATGCAGCCTGGACCGTGCCTGTTTGTTCTCTCCAACCAAACCCTGAACTTCCCCACAGCGCCTGACACCATATATTCCTCTCACAGCGAACTGCATTAGTGGATTTTGATGACAGACACCACTGTTTGATTCAGTACCACTCAAATCTTTGAACAGGTTGGAGGTGTTGACAAACACCTTGGGACTGCAGCAGGAGAGACTGTTGGTTGGAAAGGGTTGTGGCAAGGGCAGGAGAGGCACCCCGGCAGCTGGGAGAATGTTTCACGGGGGTCTCTGCAGACCTCTCAAGGGTTAGGCCAAAAGGGGGTCAGGAGGCTGTGCTGAAGCAGTTTGGGAGGGGAGTGTCAGGTACTGAGAGGGGCGGTGGGTGGGGGGATGATTTCAGAGCAGCCGGCTCGTTCCCGTGAAGGGCTGTAAACGGGCTCAGGCCGAGGGGAAGGACAGAATCTTACCCTAAGTGTGTCTGCCTGGCATTTTGTTCCAATGGGCCAGTGGGGTCTAAACAGTTTAGCTAAACACTTGTGAGGCAAAGAAAGGGAATTGGAGGGTCTGAGTCTGGCCTTGTCACAGGTGTCGATGACCCACAAGGGGGCACCCGTGAGTCTGATTTGAGTCCTTTGGGAAACTGGAATTAATAGCAGTGAGTGGTTTGGGAACGCAAAGAACACGGTTAAAGGTCTCCAGGGTCCCGGGGCTGAGGTATAAAGTTCAACATCGTCAGAGGGCACAAAAAGGAAAAGGGCAGCTCCTGCCCTCCAGGAATTTGGAGACTAAATGAAGAGCCCAGATCAATTTACACACGTTCCCAAAATAGCCATAATTATAACAAGAAAGGAAAGGAAAAGGAAAACATGGGCATTAAGAACAAGCAATCATCATATCACCACATTCCCTGAGATCAGGAGAGCAGAACGCACTTCCTGAACCACACCCCTCCCACTAAGAGCAAAGAAAATCCAACCGGTGGAACTGGACTTTTGTAATCCATGCTCCCTTCCTTACCTGGAAATTCTGCTTTCGGGCTCTGATTGGATAGTTTTTAAGGAACTCGAGAGTCCTGGAAAGGTGATCCAGTTGCACCTCTGGATGTCTCCAAAATAGACGTTAACGATGACTTCCTGTTGCTGAAAGGGAGAAGACGGACTCTGCCTCCAAAATAAAGAAATGAAGAAGTTCCCTCCCACTCCACGATGCTTGAGACTACGGGTGCCCAGTGGCTCAAACTGGGCCTTGAGAAGGGAGCGCCCAGGGATGATGGGGAGCTCACGAGCTGGGTCCCAGGAGTGCCCTGAGTAGCCTGTGGGGCTGGCAAGGGCAGACAAGGAGGACAGGACAGCGGCCCCCGGATGAAGACTGCAGACCAGCAGCCAGCATCATAGGCAGGACACAGGGACCTAGAGAAGGCTGCGCTCCTAGGACAGGATTTCTCTTCCCTGGATGTGTATTGGAATCACCTGGGGAGCTTCAACAGTCCCAGGCTTCAGGACGCTTCCTGGAATAATCTAATCAGAACGTTGGGTGGGGACACCCACGCATCAGTATTCTTTCAAAGCGCCCCAGGTTACTCCATTGTGCAGACTGGAAGGCGAACCCCTGCCCCGGGGAGCCGTGAACTAGTCACGTGCAGGACTTTGTGAACATGTCACATACAGTTTCATAGGGCATGTAGAGACGTGAGACCTTGAATTGAACAAACACAGCAAGTATGAAACAGGAGCAAAAAAGCAAAACCTAAACAGATTATACTGAAATTGAAGCCCATCACAGTCCTCACTCACCTAAGGCTTTCTTAGCTCTTATTTTACAGAAACAAAATCAAATACCACACATTCTTTCATGTCTAACTATTCTATGATTCAAAATTTATGCCCGTCAAATTTCTGCATTGTGTTACCTGTAGTGGTAGATCATTCATTCTCATTAGTGTATGTTTGCATCATATGAATATCCATCCCACTATTTCTTTACCCATTTCACTGTTAATGAGCATGTAGGTAGTTTCTAGGGAGGAGCAACCACAAACAGAAGTGCTTGATTCATCTTTACGTGTATGCAAATGTTCCGAGGAGTGAAACTGCGGGTCACAGAACATGAGCATATGTTCTGTGCTCACAGAGCACATGTTCAGCTTTAGATAATACTGCCCAGAAGTATTCCAAAGCTTTTGTACCAATTAACATCACTGCAGTAGTGGGCGTCCTTTCTCCTGTGGTCCATCAGTGCCTCTTTCATTTCTGTGGAAATACTAGGGATGAACTCAGGTAAGGAGTTCGATGCCAGGTGTATCAGTTAGGGTTTGTAAGAGAAACATAATCAGTAGGATGGGTGGAGGGAAGGGTGGGTGGCTAGATAGATATTAGAAATTGGCTCAGGTGATTATAGAGGCTGATAAGATCCAAGTTCTGTAGTCAAGAAGCTGGAAAACTGATGTGCCCTTGCAGTCCAAAGGCTGTCAGGCTTGAGACACCCCAAAAGAGCTGATGTTTTAGTTCAAGTCCAAAGGCCTGAAGAGAACAACGGCCCAGCTCCAAGCAGTCAGCAGCAGGAAGAGTTCCCTCTTACTGGTGGGAGGATCAGCCTTTTTCTTCTATTCGGGGCTTCAAATGATTGGGCCAGGGTCACCCACAGTAGGCAGGGCAATCTGCTTTACTCAGTCTACCCATGCAGAAGATAACCCCATCTGAAAACATCCTCAAGTGGGGTCTGTTTGAAAGAGGCTAAAGGGATTAGTCAAAGAACCGGAGTGCAGGTCCCAGGTATGTGGACAATGGTGTGGGGATTAACTAGGGAAGTGTGGAGGGGGGCCTACATGGAAGAGGGGTAGAGGGGGAAAAACCTGGGACAACTGTAACAGCTTCAACAACAAAACACACACAGACACATCCTCATGGACACACAGAGAATAATGTTTAAGCAAATGTCAGCACACCTTGCTGCCCAGTCAAGTTGACAAATAACCAGCACATGCTAGTCTGCCATTTTGTCTACAACCCTTCCTTTTAAGTGCTGTATAGTATTCCACTGTGGATATTATTTGCTGCAGATCACTCCTTTTCATACCATTTCGTTGTGTGACCACATGGAAATGTATTTATCCAGTCTACTATTGACGGGCATGGGGGCCATTTCCAGTTGGGGGTGTCTTGTTGATATCATCACCATAGATACTTGAGTTACTTCTGTTTTGTTTCTAAACAAGGTTGCAAAGGCAACTGTATGCGTGTCTCCTTGTGTGTGTGTGCATGTGTGTGTGTATATATATATATACACACACACACATACGTACATACATAAGTGTTTCTCATGGGCAGCCACAGATCAAGAAATGAGCACCTGGACCATGAGTGGAGAGAAAACAACACATCCAGAAGGTTCTCTCTCCACCTAGTCCCCATCCCAGGCATTACCATTCTCTCTCTCTCCACCCTCACCACAATATGACTTGACCAGCAGCTGCCCCTCCCAGAAGTTACTCACAGATTTTGTCTTACAAATTTGTATTGAAGGAAAATATAGCTACAAAAAAGTGCTTACATTTTAAGCGTGCAGTGCAATGCATTCTCCTAAATTGAACCTACATAAGTAACCCAGATAAAGAGAGGGAGAATTACCACCATCAAGGAAAGGAATGGTGCATTACAGGACAGGTGATTTTATCTTCACCGACCCTGCGAAACTGCTCTGCAAAGTGACCGTGTCGATTAACTCTCACATTGGAAGTGACAAAGTGTACCCATTTCCTGTCACCCCTGTCAACACTTGGGGTGGTCCCACCCTAGTTTTACTACACGAATAGGTAGAAGTTCTGCCCTGTGGTTTTAAGTTGCTTTCCCTTATTTTTAAAAAATATTATTGAGCTGCTTAAGCAGCGGTGTTTCCTGCCCCTGCCGGCAGGCCCGCGCGGGAAACCCTCTTCTTCTCTCTTTAATAAAAATAATATATTTATTTTTTCATATTTGTTGCCCAGTGGGAATATTTTGTGTTCGTTTTGCTGTTGGATGGTTCTGCTGTTTTGACCCTTTCTCTGAGAGCCTATAGCTCACACGGTTTTCTGCCTCCCACTCCTTCACTGTAAGCTTAATATCGTCTCACCTCTAGTGCACTGATGCTTCCTAGCTTCATGGATTATGCTAATGCTTCCCCAGAAACCTGCATGGGGGGCTAGTCTTTTACGATCATCACTACACCTGCTACCTCTTCACCCAGGTGTCGTTAACCAGCGGCTGTGCATTTGGCTTCGCAGAGCATTTTCAGGGTCAGTGGCCAGTATTACACTTGGTGGCCATCCCAGTAGCTGAGTTCCCACTATCTCACACCTGGCCCGCCACCGAGGTTGACATAGGCATTTGGGATTTGGTGCAGCTCAGTGCATATCCCCGTAAAAGCACCCCTGTCCAGGAGTTTCTGAAGACAGGGGTTATCATCTCATTTCCTTCGCCAGCTCTGGGATCCTGAACAAGTCACTCCAACCCCAGGAGCCAGCCTGCTCTGCTGTCAAATGGGACCATAGAGGTGCCCTCCCTGCCTGCCTCCCAGAGTGGTTTTGGATATCAAATGAAGGAGCGCTGGGCTGTTCAAAGTATTCCCTGGGGCACCAGTGCCAGTCAGGAAGAGGGGCTGTGGCTTATTGACAAACAGGGACCCCAGGCTTTTCAGAGAGCCGCCCTGTGCAAACCTGGGTGGAGCCGTGGATATGACATACAAATGTGCTGTTTGCCCACGTGTCCTGAAATAACGTGCAGGCCGCCTAGTCAATAGCTGGGTGAAGATGGTATTGAGTTGGAAGGCACCGTCGGTGGAAACAGACGCATAATTATGATTGGATTTCAGATGTGTGAGCATGACCTGAATTAATCAACCTGCTGATTAGCCCAAATTCCTATATTGTTAAGCTTGTAGCACAAAGAGGTGTGGGAGGGGTCCGCTGTGGAGGGAAAGAGCATCTGGGCAGGGAGGCCTGTGCAGAGAGCATCGCGTGGACGGCCACAGGTGGCTCTGTCCTGCTCTGGGGGCGAGGCCGGCCCGGGCAGGACAGCGGGGGTGAGAGGCTGTGCCTGCGCTCGGATCAGAGCTGCTGAGGAGTGAGCAGCACGTGGATCCTGCTGCCACCAGGCAGAGCTCTTCAATGAGGGGGGCTCGGGGGGGCTCTGTGTCTGCATAACTGAGCTCCAGCCAGAAGCCTCGGAAGGCAGAGGAGGTGCAGCTGCTGCCTGGCTCTCGGGAGGAGCTGGTCTCTCTCCCTTGGCTGCAGGTGTGGGGACGGCCAGGCTCAACTCCACCTGAGCCATGCCAGCCAACCTCACAGAGGGCAGCCCCAGCGCCAACGGGACCTCGGAGACACTGGATTCTCAGACAGCCGGCTGCTTCCCCACAACTTTCACGGAAGTGGTGGAAGAGGAGGAATGGGGCTCCTTCTACTCCTCCTTCAAGGTAAGCATCCCACCTTCCACGCCGAACACTGATTTTAAAAAGCAGGACAAGTAGACCGGCTCCTTTGTAACATAAACAGCCAGCATTGTAAATAGGGGCAGTTTGTTTTCTTTGCTTAAAAGAATGAATGAAAACCAAACTGATGAGCTACAGCAACAAGTTCTGTACAGCAAGAGAGGACCTACAGGGCAGTTTGTTATGAACACAGGTATTCTTCCTGCTGCTGCCGAAATGTGTGAATATGAATGGGTGATTTATTTTTAATTTTTCACTCTTTTCCTTAGGTGAGAGTTTGTTTAATCAATCCTACAGTTGTGCTGGAAATGTCTGTCTTGTAGGAGTTACTGCTGTGAGTTTTTTGCTGGGAACATCAGAGGGGCGGCAAGCCCCCACCCCCACCCAGGACAGGAAATGCCAGGAGAGACGTGGTCCCGGGATCATTGATTCTTTGCCTTGAGCATCAGTAACGACTAGACTCTTGGGTGGTAGTGGGTGGTGTGACTGTTTGCAACAAGTGTCCCAGAACAAATAAAGGAACCAGAGTTGGATGAGTTTTCAACTCACGTGTAGACAAGGGGGGCATGCAGGGATGTATCTCATTAAGCTGACACTGTTGCTCTCTTTTCTGCAACAAGAGAGTGGTCAGGGCCAAAGGAGGAACCTGGAAAACAACAGGTTTCCTGGT